CCAAGGATTGTGTGTTCATCTCCTGTTCTCATTGACTTTCTTTTCTTCTTTTGTGTGTTTGTTTATTATCCTCTTCCACAAAGTTGTTAAGAAGAGATTCAGGAGATTCCAATCACACATTTCCCAAAGGCTATTTCAAAGGTTAATGCTGTCAGGAAATGTGTAACGTTACATGGATTACCCTGAATGAGAAGCCAGGAATTTCCTCTGGGTGGGAATGATGGGGAAATGAAAAGTCCATAGGTTGATGAATATGGACCAATCCCCGGGATGCACACAGTCCAGCACATGCTATTGTGAGCATGTGAAACAGTCTCTTCATAAGAACTTTATTGAAGAGGATTATGAAAAAGAAAAAAGAAAAGCTGGTTTTCTATGAGGACCAAAGCCACAACTCCAAGAGTATGAGTCCTGTGCTCTATCAACTGAGCTAACCAGTAAGACTAAAATTTATACTGAAATTACCATTAAATCACTGTGAAAATCTCCTGTAAGAGATGATTTGACTCTCATATTTAGCCTTTAATGATGTCATCAGGTCTCCACCTAATTTTTTCTCCTGTGGAGAACTTCATTTCCACTCCAGCAAACACTTTATTCACCATTACGCTCTCTTACTTCGCATAGAGCACGGACAGATATGCACAAAAACAAATACATTTGTCAGCCGGTTCATTTGCATAGGTCGCAGCATTCAAGCGTGACATAAAAAGATCAAGGATTAAAGTGACATTTGCGGGAAATTACATCCTGTCAGGTATTTTTAGTTAATATGCTCACCTATGGTCTGATGCCTGGGGATATCTGAGAATGTGCAGCTTAGGACTTGTAGCCATGGCAACGCAGTTACAACTCAGATTCATTCTCACAGAAAACAATTAACAGTGACATTTATCCAGATGTGAAGCATTTTGGCTGCGTGGTGAACACAAATTTCACACCCACGTGCATTGTTCTGGTAAATCTGTATTTCTGCTTAAACATCCCCTCTAATACTGTTGGCTTGCTGGAGACTGTAACTGAAGAGTCATTTTCTCTTTGGCAGGGTTTATGTTTATTTTCAACTGAGAAGTAACTGCTTAGACTATTCCCATTTTCTGTTTCTGTGCATGTGTTGTCCCATACGCCCTGCGGTAATGACAGCTTCCCCTCAGCTACCTGTGGCTCACCTGCAGGAGAGAGAAGAGAGAAAACCTATTCTCTGGATCCTACGGGGCGTTCAGATATTCTCACTTCTGACAAGCTGCTTCCTTTTGCCATATGGTGTTCAAAACTCAGCTAATTCCCCTGATCACACCATGAGTACTGCCAGGAATATATTCCTCAATGTTTTATGTCTCCATGTCGAGGGCAGAAAATAATGACAAGACATGATAGGTTGCCTCTCAGAGCCTTCTCCACAAGAGGCAAAGAGATTAATTAATGAGGAAGAGATAGATACAGATATACAGGGAGAGAGAGGTGGGGAGGGGCTTAGGCTTTATTTTAAGGAATAGTTTGACATTTTGGGAAATATGCTTAATTGATTTATTGTAAAGAGATTAGATGACAATATCTACAATATACCATTCTCATGTCTGTACTGTAAATAAGCCAGCACCAGTAACAAGTTAGGATATGGTTAGTTTAGCACAAATAGCCTAATTGAAATGTGGAAAACTGCTAGACTGTCTCTAAAGCTCACTAATTAACATGCTATATCTTGTTGGTTTAATCCATATAAAAACTAAAGCATAAAAACAACAATTTGCTTTTTTATGGAGGTGTTACAGTATGATACATAACAACCGCCCCACCCCCCCTCGTAAAACCATAAAATGTAATTTTTATACTTTAAACAAAGCAGATACAACGTGTTAATTAGTGAGCTTTAGAGGTCTGGCAGATGGATTTTATTACTTATGTACTAGATGGTTTCCCCTGCTTCCAGTCTTTATGCTAAGCTAAGCTAACCTGAGTGCAAGGTCGCCAGGCGGCTGGAGCTAGCCGACACTGAGCAAGAGGCGGGTACACCCTGGACAAGTCGCCAGTTCATCACAGGGCTGACACACAGACAAACAACCATTCACACACACATTCACACCTAACTGCAATTTAGAGTCGCCAGTTACCCTACACATGTCTTTGCATGTTCTCCCCGTGTCTGTGTGGCTTCTTACCAGGTGCTCCATCCAAACACCACACAGAAAGGCCTGCAACAACCAAGGTTCAACCCAGGATCTTCGTGCTGTGAGGCAGTAGTGCTGCACCACCGTGCTGCCCTACATATAAAATAATTAAACACACACACACACAGAGTACCAAAAGGCTTAGCTTATGTCCTTTTACTATAGTTATGTCATGAAAAGAAGCTATTCTACACGTGGTTTTGAGACAGATGTTACATTGAATCCCAAAACTACTACCCATTTTCCCTGTCTTTTTACTCAGTAACGATATTAATTATTAAATAGGTGCAGAGTAATTAAAAAAATATTAGCACTGAATCTCTTGTCTTTATCTCTTGTACTTACCCAGTAAGTATTTTACTAATACCCCAAATGTCCTAGTTATTTATACATTAATTTATATGTGCCGATCTAAAGCTTCACTTGAGCTACGTACAGCTTTTCTACATTATATCCAAATGTTTCAACAGCATATTTATGGTGTATCAAAAATGTTAAATCCCACCGATGGAGCTCTCTGCACTCAGTGTAGCAAAGCAAAAATAATTATAACAATTTAACAAGGACAACCACAAAACTGTTGGGAATAAAGGAGTACTTCCTTTCACCCAGCAATAACCATCATGTTTCCCATAAATAAAACATATTGCCCTTATGAATTTACTACAAATTTCTGTAATGTACGAGGCAAAATCAGATCTGTATATTTTTGGAAACTTTAAATTGAAGAAGCACTCTCCATTAAAAAGAACTGTCTCCTGTGACAAATTTCTCATATGAATACAATTTTCATGACAGTTGCTTCAGAAAGGCAGGAGATGAACCTGTTAAAATCAGCATTTAATTCCCATAGCAAGGCAAATGACTGTAATTTTGCAAATGCTAGATCTCAAAGGAAAGACATTATCACCCTGGCCTCATCAAAATCAGGCACTTTCTCAGACATTGTACGTGACTCATGCTCAGACAGAGACAGATCCATCTCTGTGGGACACAGTTGGATGTATCATTTACTCCAGATTTACAAGGAATATACATCTCTGCTGTGTACTTTGTGCCAACCTAAAAAAAACCTTTTCAAGTTATTTTGTGGCACTAGATGATGCGCTAAATCAACAGGGGTGATAAATGTATGTATGATGATAAAATATTAAACAAATGTACATACACAGATGCCTTATCTGGAGTCATTTTAAGGCTGTTTCGAAAGTGGACCAGAAGGCAGTCTGGATGAGAGGTCACCTACAAGAGGATGTAAATAATGTGCATGGGAATTGTGTTTTGTTAAATTGCTTTCATTCAAAAGTTTTAGCACGCAGATGCGCTCTTATTGCATATATTAGAACATTTTAGTGAGGGAGGTCCTTTTGATGTAAGTGGGTTTCCATGTATATTTAATGCCATGGTTTTCAGAGCACTGGTTGAATGTGGATGGTAATATGGACTAGCATGTTGAAAACAGGCTGTGCCACTCGTCTCCTCCCCAGGTGATAGTAACAGTCAGAGCAGAAAGCAGCCGTGGTTCTCAGCTTCCGCCCCTGCAAAGCGACGACATCACTTCCATGACTCTTTATTTCCTGACTGCTGTGTGTGTGCATGTACATTAGTCTGTATTGTTCAGTAAAAGGTCAAATCTATGGTTCATTCACATTGTGGTGTGTTTAAGAAAATACATGCAGATGGGCAAAGCACAAGCAAACATATTCACCTACTTGACAACACATATGCTTCTGCAGCATAACAAAATGTAGACGCTGAATATATAGAAAACAACAAAAATCAGGCAACAAAGAAGAACAGAAGCGGACTTAAGTTTGACCACCGTCAGTGATGTTGAGAAATGAGCTAACAAGTGAAGAATATTTTAGTTTTAACATTCTGATTGTATGAATCACATATTATTAAACAGCAAAATGTCTGTAGTGATTATAGTGAACAGGCTGAATAAACGTGTCACATTAACCACATATCTACACTATAGACTGTATATAAAGATGGATGACATGGCTTCCCCACTTCTTCCCACTCGTCATTTGGGGCCAGAGTCTGCGCAGTAGTGCTCGGGGTTGGAGCTGCAGTATTGAGGTCCCACATATAGCATGGCTCAGCTGTCACGACATGAACCCCCCTTTTTATAGCATCAAATAATATCAGCATAATAATTAAACCCAAACTTAGCAGAAAAATGAAAACTTGAACATACATCAGCGTGATAAGAACTAAAATGTCAAAAAAAAAAAAAAACTTGGAAAGTTTTTTTGTGTACTTTAATTTTTTTGTTTAGCCGATACCCTAACTACTAACATGGAGGCGGCAGGGTTTATAGACCTATACTGCAGCCACCAGGGAGGTGACACCTGGAACCTTATTTTGTTGTTTAACCCAGCTCTGTTATGTTCTCTGCAACTGGCAGCATTCCTGTACTTTTTGTACTGAGTTTGCAGTGCATTTTCTTATGCTGCATTTGTGTTTGTGTCCAATTTAAAAACAGTTGCTTGTGTTGTCTTTAATTGTAATAATAATAATAATAATAATAATCTTTATTTGTAGAGCACTTTTCAAAAACAAGTTACAAAGTGCTTTAACAAGTGTAAAGACAATAATACCCAAAAGACAATAATACAAAAACAATACAAGATAAAAGCAAGAAAACAGTTAGTACAATGTAAACAGTAGTGCAATGAACTGTGGAGGCCACTGTAACACACCAGACATCAGACAATCTGATCTATCAATACAAAAATGTAGGATTGATGGAAGATTCTATTCCTTTTAATTGCAATGGTAGCCTTTTTGTTGCCTTGAACAAAAAAAGACGCTTGCACTCAGTAGTTTACATGAGTTATTTTACTGTTACAAATATTCGAAATATTAACACTGAGAAAATAATCTATAATTTTCGGATTTATTCCAGTATTTTCCCACAGGTGTACAGCTGAATCGCATAATAAACCCACAAACCTGAGACACTAAAATAAAATAATTACAGCAGGGACAGGTTCAGAAAGCTTGCTACACAGTAGCAATTATGAACAGTACAAAAACATATTGGACCCAATACATCTTTTCAAGTCAACAAAATATACTAAATATACTACCTTGTCAAATCTGCAAAATATGCGCCAACTATGGCTGATCCTGTAGGCAAAATAAAATGTTTAACATTTACGATGTGATGTCGACTGCTCATCAGAGGACATCGTGGTGCTCAAAATGATTGTGTTCAACCATGCACACACACTCGCACATACACATGTGCACACACAAAAGAAACAACTCCATCCAGTCCGGTGTGCTATTCACTGAAGTGTTCCTTTCAGCAGCCGATCATAAAGAGCTGCTAAACAGCACGTTTGTGATGAACCATTTCTGTCCAGTGCATTTCTGCAGAGCCAGTTGGTAGCCAAATTCATTGTCACTGCTCGCTACAAGCTCTAGGCATCTCTTTGATTTCCTGTTCTGAATGGATCCTCCCTGAAAAGATAAAAGCAGACTGGTTAAAATTGTGCTGTGCACAATATAACTTGCCTCCTTTAAACCCACACTGCTGTGAATGGATATGCATGTGAGCTGCTGAAGTGCCCTGAGCTCTGGGCGTTTTGGCTCATTCACACTACCATCCTCATTGGGCCCACCAGATAGCATCAAACATGTTTCAAGGCAAAAAACAACAATGCAATAGCCTTTGCAGTCATTACCTTTGTTTTTAGAAATGCAAAGATTTTGACAGACTACACCAAATGAAAAGAATCAAAAGAGGACAACGAGACACAAAAACAAAACAGATAAAGACATCTAGCACTGAGGTGGAAGAGAATCTCTAACAAAGGACATAAAAGAATCCTATGATGTTTCAGAGTCATTACAATATTGTTTAAATCAACTATTTCATTTATTGGTAGAGAAAGAGCAAAAATATTTTCCAACATGTGACAGCTGTTCCCAGTCTGTACAGTGTGAGCACATCAGCTCAGCAAAAATATTTCAGCATGTCCTGATGAACGAGGCAGGATTTTCTCATTACAGTGTCACGGCTGACCAAGGGCAAGTGACTGAAGCGGAGGCCTTCACTAGTCAATACAGTGTGGTGAGAGCTGCGAGGAGTAAGCTCTCTCCAATGCTATGAGAGGAAGGCAGAGGGATGTGGGAGGAAAAATACTTAAGAAATAGACAGGTTGTACAGACTGTGAACTAAATTATACTTTCTGAATATAGTTTGGTCTGTTGGTAAGATCCAAGAGACACTTGTTTTTGTTTATAGATAACAGGTTGGTAATAACTGCTGAAAGTGGGCCTTGATGGACCTCTATATAGAGACATCACGAGCCAGCCAATAAAAGCATTGAATGGGGCAATCAAGGCATTTTTTAAAGCTACATAAAGCCAGATTTGTTTAAGATCCTATTGTGCACTGAATGCTCTGCGCAGACCAGCTTTACACTGAATTGTGAACATATGAACTGCAGATGTGATTACATACCCATCTCCATGACTGCTGAGCAAAGCCATAAGTTGTGGTCGAGAGCTTCCAAAGTAACAAGTTTTGTTAAACTGCTGTCAACAACGCACCTTGAAGTTCAATCACTGGACTGGGAAATGTGGACAGTGGCTGTATTTATTTTTATTTTTGCTGTTCAGGTTTTAAGTGTACCACAGACAACAGTACCCAAACTAGGAGATGCTTTAACTTGTGAATAAGATGAAAAAAATATTTATTTAGAAATATTTTCATGCAGACAAGAGCCCCTCAGCCCTTGATTTCCGCAGCTAGATCGGATCCTGGCAGTGACACCTTGTCACCCTGTCAACCTTCAGGAATGAATAAAAATATTTGTTTTAAGCATGACCAGGATGTTTTTTCATTAGTCTGTATGTAAGTATCGCATTAGAAAAGGTTGATGGAAATGCCAATATTCGAAAAAATAGCTTTTTGTGCTTTAATAGGTGATGGAAACACCTTTGCAGAATAAGTTCTGACGTAGTGAACGTTTACCTCACATGCCTGATCAGCCGTTTCAGAAACACATTTCTGCAGACCTATCTCCATTTTCTCAGATTCATAGTGTTTAGGTCCATACGACTGGTTTTGTTTCTTTTTTGCAACCTCTACTGTTGTGGTGGCTGCCCGGCTAACCGTGAGTGTCCTGGTTATTTCTCATTTTTTGTTTGTGATTCTGTTTTTCATGTACTCTGCCTGCCTCCCTGTGTCTCCTCCCCTGCATGTGCTCTCCCTCTCTCTCCCTCTGCTCCTGAGCCCAGCCAACGACCCGCACCTGCACCTCGTCAGCCACCTCCTCTGCCTGCCACACCTGCCAGCAATCAGCCTCATCTCCAACAGTACTTCTACCCCGGTTCTCTAGTCAATCCCTGCTTGATCGTCGTTGCTCCTTACCCGGTGCCACTTCACCATTCAAGCTCCCACGTAATTTGCATCTTTTCTGTTTCCCTGTGCTTTGTCTCCGCTGTGTCTGACCCTGTCTGTCTCCCCTCCAGGTCCACTCACCTCCATCCTCCGATCCGCCAGCTGGGCTCGGCACCCTGCCCTCGCCACCCTGCCCTCTCCCCTTGGACCTCTTCCACGGCGCCCTCCCGGCTCCTCCCCGTGCCTCCTTGCTTCCTCGGTCCCCAGTGCCCCCCGCTCCCTTGTCTCAGTCTCCTCGGTTCCCCGTGCCCGTGTTTCTCCGGCGTCCGCCTCTCCCTCACCTCCACTCCCTCAACCCCGTATCTCCTTCAATAAAGCCTGTACTTCCCCAGAGTTGCGTTTGGGTCCACTCTGTCCCCACACCACACCGGTCGGCTAGCCCCCAGTCCGGTCCTGATCCCCCAGCCCGCTAGCGCCGCTACCCTCCAGCCTGTCCCTCTTGATCCCCGGCCCCTTAGGGCCACTAGCCCCCATACCTTGTCGGAGGACTGACCGACGTCAGCCCCGTCAGTGGTCCGACCAACCCCTGCTCCTCGTGCCCTGTCGGTGGATCGACTGGCTTCAACCCCACTGGTGGTCCAGCCGACCCCTGCTCCCTGTGCCCTTTTGGTGGTCTGGCCAACGGCGGCCCCCCATACCTTGTCGGAGGACCGACCAACGTCAACTCCGCCTCTGGTCTGCCCGACCCCTGCTCCTCGTGCCCTGTTGGTGGATCGACCGGCTGCAGCCCCGTCCGTGGTCCGTCCAACCCCTGCTCCTTGCACCAAGGCCCTCAGCCCAACAGTACCATCACTGATTTCCCCCTGCTGCTGTCTTGCTGCCGGCCTTCAGCCCTGCTCCCCGGCCTCCGGAGGGGTCTCGCCCTCATCCCAGTCGCCCCTTAGCCCGACCTCCGGAGAGGTTATGCCTTACCCGCCAGCCTCCTGGGGACTCCGGTCCTTCCGTCGACCACATTCCCTCTCTGCCCTGCCCTCGGGACACCCCCCCAGAACTCCCTGGTCCCCCTGCTCTGCTCTCGGGACACCCCCCAGAACTCCCTGGTCCCTGCTCTGCCCTCCAGCACCCGTCTGGCCCTGTTCCCTCAGTTCTGCCCCGCCCGTTCACCTGACCCTTCCCAGCCCTGTCCCCCTCTCTGAAGCTTCTGTGTCTCTCGTTTGTTTTGGACCCTGGACCCCCACCAGCCGGATCCCAGTGCGACTGACGGACTTCTGCTAAGCCCTTCCCAGCCAACTAGGAGGTCCGCCCGGAGGCGTCCGTTGAGGAGGGGGCCCTGTTGTGGTGGCTGCCCGGTTGACTGTGTGTCCTGGTTTATGTCATTTTTTTTGTTTGTGATTCTGTTTTTCCTGTACTCTGCCTGCCTCCCTGCGTGTGCTCTCCCTCTCTCTCCCTCCGTTCCTGAGCCCAGCCAACGACCCGCACCTGCACCTCGTCAGCCACCTCCTCTGCCTGCCACACCTGCCAGCAATCAGCCTCATCTCCAACAGTACTTCTACCCCGGTTCTCCAGTCAACCCCTGCATGACGTAACTATGCTTTACGTAATCTGGTTCCAAACTAGTTGATGGAAATGTGCCTGATTCTTTGTCTTTTTTTTTCAATTCAAAAGTCCACATAAAATACGTGTGACAATTAGATGGAAACATGGTGACTGATGCTGTAACGGACTGCCACTGGGAATCCACTGATTCTGGCTATGGCACGTTACAGCTGCGCCACAGTTTTGATGCATCCAAATTCCCAAATTACATGTTTAGATTTTGTTGATTTGGTAATCAGTATTTGCATGATTAAGTAGGCTATGTAGTTACATTATTTCTTTTTGTGTCTGTCTTTACTGTGTTTTACGATCGGGATCTCCACAGGGTGTTTCTTTTGAAAACGGACCAGATTTTCTCTGCCGTTCTGTGTCTGACTTCCTGCCTGGTTCGATCTGCTCTGTGTTGCTTGACACAGCTTACGTCAAAAATAGACCTGCTACCTATTCTCTGCGGAGAGGAGAGCCGCTTCTGGAACGTGCTGCAGCCACGTCTGGACTCAAAAGCAAATAGCAGTGATTAGCTCCAGCAACCGTGGCGCAGTCAGTGGATTTTAGGGGTGAGTGACCCACAGCGTATTTTAAAGACAGAATTACTTAACAAAGCTCCTGCATGAGGAAAAGGGATAGGTGAGTACAGGTGTACCAAAAACAGGAAGTGGACTTTGATTTAGAGCACGGCTAGCCATAGGGATTAGACTGAATTGTCATTTTTTTCACTTTGTTAATTTATTAAGAAGCTTTGGTAGCAGTTGCTAAGAGCAGTTGACATTTGTTATCAGTTGTTTTTGTAAGTCAATTTACAACAACCTGTACACCGGTATTTTAATCCACAGATTACCTCCCTATTTTTAATCCTGCCTGGCCGATTGTTTCTTAAACCGGAGGAAAAAGCAGGCCATTAGGACAACACTAGACCCATTTGAATTGCTGAACAAATCAAAAGATGTGGGTGCTAATTCAGAGGCTTGGAACAAAGCCAAAGTCAAACCCAGAATCCATGAAAATCTGGAGCCTGAGCTGATAAACAGGAGCTACTCTAGGTTTTACTCAGTCAAGTTATCTATATAATGTCTCGGTACAGCTTCTTTAAACAGCCATGTGTGCATATAGCAGGTGTGAAGGTTATTTGATTTAGGATGCTATGGTTTGTTAGGGTTTACATTAAATTTACTATGCAATATAAAGAACAATAAGTATTTGTTACAGGAAAATAAAAACACCCACACATGCCCACAAAACACACAAGCTCAACAAACCATACAGTCTCTCCCACAGAACATATGTTTGCTGTTGTAATCAGCAAAAATCAGCACCTGCCAACAAAATAACTTATCTAAGCTATGACTTTCACAAATTAAGGCTTGTCTAAGTCACTTCTTCGTGGATAATTCGGTGTCTTTACAGTGATTATGAGAATCTTCTGTTTATCAGGTTTAGTGTAGTATGGTGCAACATTTGAATTCTTGCTCTCTAATTTGTACACTGTATACCCCCCAAAGTTGCTATGGTTGCATTTATTTCGGTTTGAGCTTGACACTTTGCACATGTGCAGTCAAAACTGTATCAATAATTGATGCCATATTTCAGAGATGTGATATGCTCCAGGCTTGCTGATAAGTCCCCACCCTACTTACTAAATTATACAAAGTTAACAAAAATAACCACTTAAAGTTCAGTGTGAGGATATGTGACATATGAGTTCAAGCACATAAAACCATTTCACACTTTGTGCACATTATGCTGTAAAACCAAACAGACACACCTGTTGCGGCAGCCCAGAGGCGACATGGTCAAAAGAATACTGTGCTCATTATAACAAGCGTCTAATATGAGGCACATTTGGGATGTTATGCATATTTGGCTCAAAGAGGAATAAGATCTATAATTAAAACTGCACTGACAGCATACCAGACAACAATATGAGGTCTTCTGAGCCCAAATCAAAGCATGCAGTAAATTCAATTCACCCACTGTCATGGGGCATTTTGTGAGGTGGCTGCTTGCTCTGTTAAAACACATTTTGCAAGCACAGAGCTGCTAATGGAGAAAGACAATCATTAAGTTTCAATGACTCTTCATGTCTGAATGAGTTGCAGGATTGAGGGGAACTCCGGTCAAACAGTAAATTAAACCACTTGCACGATTTAAAGCTACCGCCGCAGTTTGTTTTCCTGTCGCATTCAACAAATGACCTTCACTGGGGCTGAACATAAACTGTTAACTGAGTATTTTCTGACCATGTGTGGGGGCTGTGTCATGGGTTGTCACCTGAGTGAAGTGCCAGTGGAGCTTCATGCGTTTGGCTGCGGCATAGCTGCACTCAATGAGGCGCGGTCTGCTATTCACATCCACCAGGCACTTGTTGTCATCATCGTCAATGGTGGGACTCAGGAGCCCGATGTGGAGCTGCTGAGTACTGGTGTAGTACACATTCTGCAAGAAACACCACATCCTGCTATGAACAAGCTGTGTAGTGCAACTTGCTGGGGTTGACATTTAGATAATGGATCTTCCAGAGCTGTATGTGAACATACAGGTAATAAACTATGCAGCAAATGAGGCTTCCTCTTGGGTTGTCTTTGGGTTTGAAAGAGACATCTATGAGGTTGATTTACATACACTAAATATGCGCATTTATGCAGCTATCCTGACTGAATTGAGGACAAGTAAAGACAAGGCAAGGCAGACAAAATAAGCCCATTATTAATTCAGGAATGAGGAGACAACCTGAATACTTGTGCCCTCTCTGATGAATCCCTCCCAACTGCTTTTTTCAAGGACAGTTGTTTGCCCATGTGAAGTTGCCAAAAGCTGAAAATAATTTGCAAGAATAAAGAGAGAGCGAGATAATTTGTCGACTGTATTTACAGACAGCAGTGCTCAGAGTGGTTTAATACTGCCTTTAGTTTGGTGTAGCACACACAGTGATAAACAAGGATGTACTGTATAAGATGACATGAAATTGTATAATTTGTGCATCTTACAGAGATGGAAAGTAGCCAATTGAGGAGACATTAATTGGTTTGCAGAATCCAAACAATAAAGAGGCGTAACAAGAGTATGGGGGACAGGGACTCTGTCTGTAGAAGTCTATATTTCATTCAAGATTGTCTCTGACTCAGCCCCCATTAGCTGTCAAAGCTAGATATTTTCTTTTAGTATGAATAAAAAAAGCAGGTTTGCTTATTCTTCTGATTGTCTTACTTCACACTAGACATTAAACAGTCTGTTGAGTGTCATTTTTAAAATTTGTGCTGCTCATTTTCGTTGCTGGGCTTTAGTCGGTATGTTTTATTACTTGCGGGAGCCTAAGTGTTGTACAGTATGTTTGCTGACAACACGCTCTTCTTGTAAAGTCAGTCACGTGTTGGACTGTGAGCTCTGTAATGCCCTTCCTTTCATGTGTGCCTGTGCAATTTCCTTTAAGCACGTTAATGTACTGCTTTTACTGCAGCACCTCGGATACAAAGTCTAGCTCTCCCAAGGAAAATCAGTAAAAGTAGAGTTGGCACTTACAATGACACAATTTGACTGACTTCAGCAAACAGTTGCAACAGTCTATGAACATGTACCCTTATAGAGGCAATCCAGGGACTAATTCCTCTTGATGATGTAACACGGCAACATAAAAATAGAGCACACTAGATTTGCCTTGCAGAGGAGATCCCTAATCTCATTAGGAACACTGGTGCTATGCCAATCCTTTGTTTGAAATACCCGGATTTATGAGAGATTTATAACATATAATAGATTTATAATTAGCAAGTTTCAAAGTTATCTAGGTCTCAGAACAGGCGGCAGATGTTGACTTCTGAGTTTTTTAAGGAAAACATGTTACTAAGATTAAACAGACTTCTCCCAAATCAGTTTTAATTTGCACTGTGCTGTGAATATTAATACAGGCGTAATGGGTGTGAAACATCCTGATAGATTCATTTGAACTGAAAGGGATAATGTGAGATCAAGCCACACTCTATAAGACAAGTTTACGATTGCCACAGCAAGGTTAAACAATCTCTGAAAACAATCTGCTCAGACATAATGGGATAAAGGGATCGATAGAAGCTGGAAGAGACTCGAGAAAGTAAATGATCAAGCTGTGCTAACATGGGAAGACACATAAACTCCCTGTTATTTAGGCTGAGATATATCCTGAACAAGTGGTCCAGAGATAAGATCTTAAAGACATGATGAAAAACTGCATATAATAAGCCAGTGGTTGAAATAAACCTGAAATAAACAGTTTTACTTTTAATCTTTTAAATGTATGTGATAAATGTTCAGGTACAATATAACTTTGTGTTTCATCAATAATGTGACATTTTATTCTGAGCTAGACTCAGTTGGGACATGTCACCATAAATGGAGGTGTATGAAAAATGGCACTGAGTTTAATATGCATTTAAAAACATGGAGGACAGTTTCTATAAAGGGCCAGATAGAAAAGCCGATCCTGTTTTATGAGGCAAAAAGATACTAAGTTTGATCCAATCTCAAAGCAGAGGAAAGGAGAGGCATTTTTCGTCAAGGTGGAACAGGTTTTATTGAGTAAGAAGACCCAAGATGGAAATGAAATATAGAGGTGACGCTACATGCTGCATGAAATAGTGCTCTAACCTGAGGTGTCATCCCATGACAGAGATACAGGATGGGGACGTTGTCATTGTCAGGTCCCTGGTCCAAACACAGATCAATCTTCAGAGCGTTTTTCAGCTGATAGACAAAGAAAAACACATAGGTTTTTGGTGCTAATACATCACTGTAAAAATACCCATTCTTGTAATAGGTATGGTAAGTCCTTCATTTAAAGTATTGATCCTATTGATTTATAAGAAAACAATCATGATATGTAAAGTAACAGGTAACTAAAGATGTCAGATAAATGTAGTGGAGAAAAAAATCCATATTTCCCCCAGAAAGCAGAAGTAAAAGTGACTAACTAACTAACTATCTCAAATTGATACTTAAGTACAGTACTTGATAAATGTACTTAGTTACATTCCACCACTGGAATTGTCCAAGGTCATATTTGCATGCACAAACTAACCCAGATATTAGTCATGATCAGGTAAAAGTGTGAATTAGTGTGTTCACATAAACTTTTGATACTCGAGTATTTATGCTACTATGAGCAATGGTTTCTGATTTTGAGAACCAGCGAGCTTCAATTTACAATTTAAACATGTTCAACTCTTGCTCAAAGAAGTTCACTAAGAGGAAATAAAGGGAGGACTTCTTTCAAAAGGATTCCAACTCTGCTGGATTTTTATTTGTTCTCAAAACAGGATTTCTCGAGAACAATTAGTCATTTTCTTAAGGGATGGATGTGTTACAGTAAAAGCCCAGAAAATAAAAAGGTCCTACATGAACACACTATTTTCTGCCAAAGTTATAACAGTTTGGGTTATTTCATATAATACATTTCTGCATATGTGTTTTTTTTTCTCTGCTCGGCTCACTGGTTTGAAGCAGGTGGTGGTGAGTTGGGAAAAAACGTGATGTCAAATATTTCAATTCACCAATCAGGATTTAGACACATTTGAATCACAGGGTGCTCCTCAAGTCTCTTATTTGTCATTTCCTCGCTCCTCGGTTGAATCGGAAGTTTTTCCACTCCGCTGTCATGCAGACCGTCCCAAAGCTCTTATTTGCGCTCCGGGGAGCGAGGTTCGAGGGTCGAGGAGCGATCTCTGTGGAGCTATGAGGGAGGATACACCAGTGCATCCTTCGCGGAAGTCTTTTACTGCCCTTATTGGGTAGCCGTTATATTGATTGGACATGGCAGCTGATCGGACTGATCTGATACATCAGGACAGATAACTTTCTTCAGTTATTAGAAAGATTTTCTTCCTTTTATTTCTCCCTTCAACTTTTATAATGGAGACAATTAAAGTCAGAGAGAGTCAGAGAGTCTGTCAGCAAGAAACACGTTTTACTCATTTCCATTCAATCATATGAGAGGCTGATCATTCCTGTTGTAGTGAACAACGATGTGGATTTGTGCATTTTCATGGAATAAATGTGGAGCTACCCTAAATTCCTTTCTCCTCCCCAGAGAAGATGGGGAGGGGTCAAAGTTGCTTTCTCTAAGTGCTATCCCGACCATAAAACTGGCACCATTTTGATTCCGAAGCTGATAACGCGGGGCCTGACTGTTAAACTGACAAAGGGACACGAGCCAGCCATTGGCATCTCCCTGAACAGCCTATCAAAACTTACCCCACCACACACGTTTCCGTGGAAACTGACCTTATTCTTGGTTTTATTACCACATCAAAAGGATACTCCTTGTCTCACCTAAGTGTGACATGTTCCAGACACTGAACTTTGGATGACAAAGGACTGCATTCTCCAAAAGACTCAAAGCATCTAATTAAATTTAATTAAATCTTTAGTTACCTGAATACGTTTGCCTCTATTTGAGTAGTTATGTTAACTGTTGTTGCTATCTGTTGTTGATATTAGTGCTGAAAAGAAGTTACTTGTGCAATGTTTTTATTTTCAGCAAGACACTCCTTCATCTGATGTAATCAATGCTTGTTCATAATACTTTCTTACAAAATCCCTTTAGAAATGATGACAAAGAAATGTTTTACTATACTCTTAATCGCCAGCTTGAATTTAAGGATGAATCAACAAATTCCCCGGTTCCTAAGGAGAGACGATCTTTGATTTAATCCAAGCTGTCCTCATGTAACCTGAGCTCCCCCAAGTGGACGAAATAAGTATTACATGCCCTCGTCGGAAATGCGGTTAAATGTATAAAAATCCTGACCAATAATGTGACAATTTACCAAATGCTTAAACAGTACAACCGTTCAACCATTGAGGTTCGATTGTGGAAAATATTTGATTATAATACGTGCAAATAGATTTCTTTTCTTTAGACATTAAGTTTGGAAAGGCAGTCCCTGGGAAACCTGAGACGCCCCCTGGGGAACCACGCCCCAGGCAACAAAAGAGCGACACGCGACCTGCTCGCCAGTCTCTAGACTCTTCACTCTTAGTCTCTGCCCTCTGGATGCTTCGGCACGCGCGTAGCGTGCCTCGCCAGGCACACGCCCAGACTCGGCCAGCGAAACAAACAGGCCTTTGTTCGCTGAAGCTACACACCTGAAGTGCCGCGACATCGATCTGCCTTCAGTTTGTTTTATTTTCTTTATTTCTTTTGTTTGTTAAAGTTATGAGTCCGTTAAGTTACACTGGACTAATTCAGGAACGACCAAGTTCCATTTTAAGCCTTTTTCGTCGAGCCAACTTCACCGAGGTCAGACCAAGCCACGTGGTCTCGCCAGCTACAACCAAGGAAACCTGCAAACAGCCGAATTGCCAGACGGAGGAGGCTTTTCAATCAGACATGGAGAACCCCGGACAATCCCTAGCAAAAAGCCAGGATCGGCAGCTAGCGTGGGACCCGTGCAACAGGCCAAAAGCAGGCTGTCGACAAGCAGTAAGACTTAACACACGTCCTGTGATCAGATGTCCATTTTAACTCCTAAATATAGCATTAGTTTACTTTCATTAGCTCTTCTATGCCGTATGAGTCGAATGCTTCCCACAATCGAACCTCCAGGCTCATTGTTCAGCAAATGTTTATGTTCCCTGTATCCAACCATCTTTTATCACCTTAGTTAGAGAATAAATTCACTGTAATATAATCAAGAGCTGTGTGTGTTGCCTATTTATAGTTCCTGCCAAGAGAATTGACCCTTTAGATATGAGACTGACTGACTGATTTAAGAAAATTGAGCGATTATTAACTAACTGATCACTAGTAATAATTGTATAATTATTCAAAACTACCTAGAGGTCCGGAGACTCTAGGATTATAACAACTCCGGTGGTGCCCTTTACGAGGAAATTCTGATTTTATGAATAATAATTCATAATTGGGTATCAATTCTCATAAATTTATTAAAATGCATAACTAATAAATTTAGGTCCACTACATAATGGAGCCTTCCGTGTGAGGCCTTGTGACATACTATAATAATAGACTATACACACAGCCCTGATGCAGAGAAGTTATTGAGAAAAGTTATTGAGTCCCAGAAATTTTTCCCTCCAAAATTTTGCCACTGAAATTATCGCCCAGTAAGTCGCTCCATAGAAACTCTCCTGTCTTCCCTCTTAACTTAACGTTAGTTGAAAGTGTGTGTGAGTTTTGACCATGTTCTTTGTTGTGAAATGAAATGCTTTGTGCAACTTGTTTGGCCGCGGCCATCATTCTTTGTTGTTCAGTACAGAGCTGTAGTGAGCTGAGCTATGAGGACCGAGCTAATGTTAAACTGAATGCATTCCTGTAACGTTGCCATATGAGAAATCTGAGCTAAAGCTACATACAATCTCCGCTGACGAGTGGATGAAATGCCCTTTTGGTTGAGAGAAACTTAACCGATATTGATAATTTTAAGGCCTAATAAGAGGCAGACAGATTACAGTTGCGCTGTGCCAATGTGATTTGTTTGCGGCTATAAATAACAGTCTGACGCGCTGAGCCGTGGATTGTTATGTTATATGCAAAACTCCGGTATCCTGTTGAAATTAGCTACTTCAACAAATACAGCTGCCCGGCAGTGGAGTCACAGGCGTGAAGACGCCGAGTTTAGCCTGTAGCGTTGTACCTACCGAGCTAAGTTAACGCTAAATCGAAGCTTGAAAGCAAGCTGAGTCATTGAAACAAAGGAGCGAGTCCTTCCCCCATTTTGAGCGGGACTGTGTCCGTCAGTGTTCTGATTTACTGCCGTTGCTGCAACGACGGTTTGCTAACTGCGTTAGCCTGAAGCTAACAGCTGTTGGGTCCGAGGACCAGAGAGGAAGCCGCTTCTTCTTCTACATTGAGAAATAGGCCGCGCCCGAGGCGGAGCCACAGCTCCCCTACTGGCTGGCGGAATAAATTGCATGCTCTGCATTAAATCGACTTCAGCGTCATCAGTGACAGAGATGAGCGTTTGAATCGAGTGAATTAAACCAGACTTTGGTGATAGATCTTGTTAACTTGAGACACATAAACCATTGTGTCGACTCTCAGATTAAATTAATAAGGAGTGTTACTCCTTAAGTGTAGGATAGAGCACAGGCTCTCCTTTTTCCTTGAATAACTTTTAAAGATCTATTGGGTGTTTGCTTGTAACAAGGTACTGAGCCAATTTAGTACCCTAACCTAGGATTACACTGAGTAGTTCTGTTAATTTTGATGCAATCTTTTATTCAAAGATTCGCTTTTCTAATTTTGATCCAGCTGTATTTGAATAAAAAGCTTTATTCTCATTACTGCTGCAATATCCCTGATTTTGACTTTGTCATTTTGAAGCCTTTTCTGTAGTGCTATTTTTGATCCTTGCAGGAAATAAGATAAATGCAGAATAACATCTTGATTTGAATTTTTGTTAACCTTTTGTTGTTTGGACTGATTGGAATTCTGAAACCCACATTAAGCTTGATAAGTTGAATTGATAGCTTTCCAACTAGGCTTTCTTTAATCCTTGTTCATTATAAATGTAATCTGACTTTTATAGCAATTGGAATTTTGATAACTTGATAATTACCAAAGGGTAATTAAAACCTTCAGTTAATCAGCTTTGATTTTTTTTTTTTTTTAATCCACTTTAATCAGCCTGGGATTTTTGTTAATGTAACTTTGAACTTTGAGTTTATTCTCATTGCCTTTGAACTTTGATTTTAGAAATTTAATTTTAATCTCAAAATTTTAA